TTATATATTTAATATAATAATATAAAAATATAAATAATGATATAAAAATATAGAATAAATTTAATTAACATACATTTTAATTTATTATAATTTAGTTGGAGATCGATAAAATTTATTATAATTATATGAAGCTTATTTTCAGGATAAATTTTACTATCTTGAAGAAACGAATTGAGATGCATCGTGAAATTTTGGGGGGTTTGGTACAGCGAGGGCACAGATCTCGCAAATCGAGGAAGTGACATATCTGAATCCGCGATTTGCCATTGATATCCTCTCAGAATTGATATTCCCTCCAGTGGCGTTGTGGTGATATTTCCTTCCTCCGTTACGAGATCACGTGAGAAAGTGCATTCGTATGCATTATGCATCACAGCAGCGGACGAACGGACGTTACTTGAGAATCTCTCGACGTGGACCGCGTTATTTCCCGGTAAACTATATTGCATTATTCGGCAGAAAATTATATGAAATCTCATTGTTTTTCGGAAAATTGTATAAGGTATTCGAAAAAAAATCATTATGATATTATAAACTTGATTATACAAATGTTATAATTGAAATTGAAGATTTTACATAATTATGTTGAAAGCATAGAATTTACATTAAAAAATATGGATTATTATTATATACATATTAATACCTTATACATTATAAAACTATCATTTTAATTGTATAATTTACTATATGAAATAATTTTATTTTATTCTTAATTATATATTCTTTAATGTAATTATCTTTCTTGATATTAATTAAAAGGTTGACGATGTTTAATTATTGATTTATTAAGAATTTTCGATTCAAAGATCGCCGAATTATTGATTTATATTTGTATTAACGAATTATGCTACAGAGATACGATATACAATCTCGCTCGCTTTCGTTCTCAATATGCACGCGATCGCTAATGCAATTTCACGGACGCGTACGTACATGTGCAATAACGAAGGCTTAGGTCAGCCTTTCATGTGCGCTGGCTGCGACTGATTACGTCTTGTCCACACACGATTCGCATTAATTCAGTTTGCCGCTTATATTTTTGCATACGTCCCATCTCTCTCGAATTTCCGTTTCTGATTGCATTTTCGATTTTGATGCGAATTTTGGATGTAGAAACGAAAAGCAAGTGGAGAAAATTGTTATTTTCTAATTATCATCTAATTATTAAATTATTAAATTTTTTCAATTCCATGACAGTTATTAATTTTTTTATTATAAAAGACGACTTTAAGGTTCCGGAGGCTTCTCGTGGGTTTAGGAAAACCGGAAGCCAGGGATCTAAATATCTACGAATCCAATAATACTATCAGTAGAAACCTCTCGTTTCTGAGCTAATTTCGGGATCGCTACGCGTTATACATGAGAACCAGGCTTAAGACTTAGTCTCGACGGAGTTTCCGACATCGACATCGAGAAAGGAATAGGGTGGCGGGTGAAAAGGGGGGAGAGGAAGAAGTCGCGGATTAGTTTCGCTCGCACGTGTGTTCGCTGAGAACTCAATCTAGAGATTCGGTTTGCAGTTCGAGAGACAGGATGACGTTGCGACGACGACATCGTCGTCGACGGCGACGTCCCTTGCACGAGAGAGAGAGAGAGAGAGAGAGAGAGAGAGAGAGAATTGTCTAATCATGAAATCTTTAATCAGCCGTCGCATTTGTTTGCAACTTTGGAAGCTTAAAAAACCTCAGATTTGATCATTTATTGGTCATAGGAAGATGATAATTAATTAATAAATCTATATAGTGAATTTTAATTAAACATTAATTGCAATGTAAGAATATTTTTTATATGTATCTACTTGCATCTAAAACTTTTTTCATAAAAATTTTGTACAAAACAATTTCTTATGAAGATAATTAATGGTGGAAGAGTGAAAAATTTTATTTGTAATTAAACGTAAATTGTAAAAATTTGAAAGACGTTTCTTGTAAAACAGAAAGGACAATGAAAATGTATCAAAAAATATATCAAAGATATATTTAAAAAGTTATGACTTATTAAAATAATTTATTTATAATAACGGTATTATTATATTAAAAAGTCTATAAAGTGTTTCATATAACTAATAGCTAACATTACACTGACAAGTATGTGGAAGACTTAAGCAAAAGTCGATATTAATATGTGTATAATATATTAGGTACATACACACAGCACACCATCACCACCGCATGTGTACTACTGTATTATACATTATTGCATAACATTTGTGCTTGTCGACTTAAATATTGCTGATCACTTTTATATATAATGTAAGAATATTTTTCTATTCTAATTTTTTCTGCAAATAAGCCATTTTTTATTTTATTTAATTTCAAGTAAAATTGTATAATTTGTTGTCAATTGTATCGCAAATACCTTTCGGTTTTCAATATGAGATTTTGACAAATGGAAAAAATGTTGTTAAATAGGTTTCCGGAGAAACCGGAAAATCGATTTCAATAAATATTCCATCAAATATTTGACCTCTGGTTGAAACTACGCGTTTCATAAATTATATATGTATAATAAATAAAACTCAAGAAACTTTTTCACTATCGTATATGCATCTCAATAGTATTACAAACCAATTTAAATAATTATTCATTTAATGGATTAATCTATCCTTATTAAATGAATTCCATTAAACTCTATTAAATTCTATTCAATTATTATTAATTGGGGATATAAATGCAATATACAGTTTAAAATAAAATAATATTAAATATAGAATTAAATTGCAAAATACATTTAATGTTGCAATTAAAAAAAATAGTATATATATATATATATATATATATAATAAAAAATAATACATAGTTTTATATTATTTATTGAATTAAATAAATTATAAAAATATATATTAGTAAGATAAAGTTATGTTATATAATATATAGAGAGTATAATTTGCAACGATGAAAAATCCTTACCTAAAAGTGTCGCATCAACTTTCCACCTTCAAGAAAGATGAAGGAGCATCATAGCGGAGTTCTTCCTGCATACTAACCATCCAGTTACAGGATATACATATTTCTTCCGAGTTATCTTTGGGCCGCCATTTAGGCCCAAACGTGTTAAATTATACGATACAGAAAGAGATGTAATCATAAATCAGAATTAAAATTAATTCTAAAAAATAATAAAATACCTTAATATATATACATTAACTTGATTTAAAAAATTTATTAACAAAAATAATAAAATAAATCAATTGAAATCAATATCTAAGTAAAAATGACCTCAGTCTAAGAATCAATTGCAAATAACTTTTTTATATAATTACAAATTTTTCCAAGTTGATAGAAAAATAGAAAAATAGAAAAATCGAAATGTGACTGTGAGAAAGTTTCAGCAACGCGACGATATAATGATTTATTTAGCAAAAGCAGCAGATTTTTATTGGAAACACGTCGTAACTGGATATCGACAAGTACTCAGATTTTAGGGTGGGGGTGGAAATGGGATTGGGAGCAGGAGTATAGCAGCGAGAAAGCCATGAGGTGAATTTTAATAAAAGACTGCCGATGTGCCCCGTAGTAAATTACTAGATTTAAGCTTGATGCCGTCGGAAAGTTTTTTTCGCTTGAAAATAATTTAATAACGGATTCTGCAAAGTAATTTCTTTGTAATTTGATAATAACTAATTATCTGAAAATTTGTCATCTGAAAATATGTTCTTATGAAAGTTTACTTATTATACATTATTATATCGTTAAATTTCTATTATTAATTTAATTTTTTTCATCATCTCGATATATTTTCCATATATATTTGCATATTGTATAACTATAAATAGCGACATCGAAAGAATAGTGCTTACGTAGGAAAATAACCGAAGTGACATAACTCCCTTCTCATTGGATAAGATGCTCCTCACCCTTAGGGCATAAAAAGAAGGTCGTCGAAGACCGTCATCGTTGTGGACACCGCTCCATGCATTTTAAAACGGCCAAACGATGCCTACAAATTATATTTTTGCAATCATTGCGGTTTTGATCTTCTCTATCCCTTCATTCTTCCCATCTTTCTTTACCATCCCCAAGGGTTTGATATCACGCCATAAAATTCCGACGATTATTCTCACGGAATGTCTCATCTTGGCAGATCGATGACGAATGAAATTTTAAATAACGAATCAGTTATATTCTTTTTTATTTACTTTTTACTTATTTATTTTATTACTTGTTTTTTTTTTAATATAATACATGTATATACATTATATATATAATGTAGGTATATAGGTACATTTTATATGTTACTTATGTTTCTTGACTTGCCGTTTCTTGTTCTTTCTTCGTTTATCTTAATATATCGATAAAAAAATGGCAATGCAACGAGACTTACGTTTTTATTGCTCGTTCTACTTTTGCGCGGAAATAACTATCGGGAATTTTTACAACGCTATGAACGTTTTTAGAATTGATATTGGCATCGATTGACATTCGACCTTTTCTTATGACAAAATGTTATCACCAATTTGCTATTAAAATGTTACGATCAATAATAAACGTCGAAAATCGAAGAATATAATTCTTCCCAAATCATATTAAATCTATATCTTTAAAAAAAAAATTGAACTTTTGGAAGGATGGCAGGTAATAATTGAGTTAATCTTCACGAATTAAGTGATCAAAATGTTGTTGTGCAAAGTTCGAATACATATGTCTAAAATAAATGTGAATATAGGGGTATATGTACACACCATATAGACGTATATCTATGGTACACACGCGTGCATACACACATTTGCTAAAAGTATATTCATTGGTATATGTTTACTGTTATTGGTATGTTTTTCTTTATTTTTAAGCTGATATTATTATTAAATTATATTTTGACATTACATTTTTAACCGTTATATTATTATTATTATTTTTATTATATTTTGTAATTAAGAAACTAATTGCTTCAAAAATGTAGATTGTTAATTTGTATGTATAGGACGTGCATATATGATTTAAATATATATTTAATGTTAAAATAAAATATGTAATATTGTAGAAAATTTTTTTTTGTTACAGGAAAAATAGCACAACCTTGGAAAAATTCCATCTACAAATCTCGAGATTAGAGTTATACTCTGAAGACTCGAAGTATGTGGACCAATTGCTTCATGAGATGGCGACGAAGCCGATTCTTCATGTCGGTGAGCAGATTAATATAATCACTAATTAATCGCAAAGTTTATAATTTTTATTTACAGAAATATTTTTTGTAAATAATAATTACAGAAATATCTTCTGTAAATTATTGTTTTGTAATTCATTTTGAATTACTTTAATATTGGTTTTTTAATCACATTTTATAAATGTTACTTATATATATGTTGTGTTACATATTTATTTTGTATATTTTATTAGTTGGTATCACATAGTACTTTGTATTAGTATTATATAAATTTGTATTATAATACTTTTATTTGTATTGAATTACATAATGTTCGCATGTCCATCTCATAAGTTTGGCAGTTATGGAATAGATCTGACGTATGGAAATCTTTGCTTAATAATAATGATATTACGAAATTAAATAAGGAAGCAAAAATTAATGAAGATAAATGGATAAAACTTTTACCGTAATAATTAAAATTTTGCTCCAATTCTGTCGATTGAGAATAAAGAAGAACGTATTTAATTAGCTAGGAGGTGGGAGTGAGTAATTATCGTCTAACTATTTACGACATTATGACAATTAAGATAATAGGGTAATTTGAGGGACTATTTGAGTTAAAGAAAAAATTGGATAAAAAATTTTTAAGACATGAAGGAGCTTTTCAATTTTCAGAGTAGAGAGGGGCTTTTTGAGCTTTTTGTCTTGAAAATTTATTGGATTTTTTCTTTAATTTATTTAAATAACCCCTCTTTATCTTATATTATTAACGAATAGCGTGAGAGAAATAATATTGCATTTGAATTATAAAAAAATATTTTATTGTAAGATTACATAAAGTTATGTAAAATTGTATAAACTTTTCAGAAATAATTAAATATAAAAATATGTAAAAATATGTAGATATACATATATAGCTAATAATATTTGTATAAAATACGCAGGTTTTCCATTGTTCAATTTGTATTGATTAATCATAATCATAAATCATAAATCGTAATAGCATTTCTGATAATAAAATTATCGAGATAGCACGCATATCTAAAACGTCGTAAAGACGGTTTTAAAACGTTTAAGTTGTTTTTTAGATATACGTGTCTAAAAGACATCTTAAAAATGTTTTTACGATGTCTTTTAAATTATACGTATGTCCAAAAGACGTTTTAAATACGTCTTTTATAGACATGCGTGCTGTCTGAGTATAATAGCTGCGTATTTGATTTGTTCATTAACATACTGTCACAATGGTGACTTGTTTGAACAAACCTAGTTCTATTTTTCGTCAGATATATCGATTTCGTAGTCTCGACTGTTAATCTCGTGAATGTCGTATATTTAATTCAGGCCGCAGACGACGGATGCTTTATTATTTGACCACGACGAATCATCGTTGCCCGACGAATTATTGACTCGCGTTACTTCTCGAAGCTTATATGGTAATACAAGAGCTAGACGAATCGCTTAACTTAACCGCTTAACAATTTTATTAAATGTATTCTAATTATTCTGTAACATTAGTAACGATTTGTAATATGGAAAACTATAATCCTCTGTTGGGGTATCTAAACTTTAAGTATAAAATTTTACACAAGTGTAATTTACACACAAAAGAAAGAACAGCGTTATATTTAGTTAAGATAAGACTACAATGATTATATATAGTCCACATAGTGAATTATTTTAATTGCAATGTACAGTTACATATTTTTTGATAAATACAGTTATATTTTAGAAACAAAATATTATTTTGTTTCTTATCAATCAATTTCTCTTATTATTCTGTGCATAAAAGTATTAAAGTAAGATCAAAAAATAAATATTTTACCAGATATTTCATATTTTATATCAAAATAAATTCTCCTTCAAACTGTGAAACTTTTATTTGAAATATTTTTAAACAATGAGAAATAACTGAAATTTAGGATAATTTATTAAAATATTAGTTAACCTTATATAATTTATGCATTATATTACCAATAGGTACAATAATAATAATAAATTATAGGTATATTTGATATTTGATATATAGTATAATTATATACATACATGTTTAGTAATTATCAATAGTAATAATCAATATTACTATATTAATTCTGTTTTGTTCTAAGCAATTTTAATTAATAGCTGTTAATTAAGTCATCTATAATTAAATCATGTCATCTAAAGATTTACTTATTGGTTTGTTACAGTTCAAAAAGACGGCGGCACACAATTAAAACTGATCATTGATTACGGCGAAAACATGCAGGCGTTGTTCAAACCGATGCGGTAAGTATACAATCAGTATATACTGTATTTAACATTTTTGTTTCTTACTCTTCCCCTTATATATAGATTATCGTAACGATAATTTAAAAATTTTGTAAATTAACCGGTTATGTGTGTAAATGAAATACATAATACATGAAAAATTGATATAATATATATTAGAAATATAAATTTTAATATGAATATAAACTTAATACAGACACAATAACATTTCGGCGCGCACATTATATTTATATACCTACATAGATGTAACACGCGTACATAGATAATAAGTTTTGAATAAAATATATAAGTTTCCTATTGTTCAATTATTGCGGGATTACTATTGCTATTAGATCAATTTTTCCCATCTTTATTCGTTAATATTCGTTTATTGATTTTCTCGTACATATAGTACATACTCGCGCGTGTGTATACATGCATACATGTATACGTGTATACATGTATGTAGGTATATTCTAATTAGCGCCATTATAGCACAAATTAGGAACGATTGCATGCAAATTACGAGCGAGAGGTCAGCTTCTATGACCCGATGTGAACGATGGCGGTGAAACCGCAGAATGTCGCAAAGTTCTTGGCGTATCTTGGGATCACAGGCAGACAGCGCGCAAAATTACTTGGGCAGTTTGTCGGTGCAACGGCGCCGCGGGACGCTGCCACGATAGCGCCCAAATTAACGCCGAAGCATTGCTCGAATCGCCGTCTTAAATTCACACACAGTCTATACGCAAATTTACAAATTTGCATTCCTTTCTGCTAAGGTTACTTTGATCTCCTCTAAGTAATTTAAAAGATTAGTTTTAAATAAGCTTTTAGAAAAGTAAAAATGGTCAATTGGACATTCAAGAAAGTAAACAAGCAAAAAAAAATAGTGTCCATGGATTAATTCAACTAAAGTTTCAAGTGTTTGTAATTTTTTAGTACATTTACATTTAGTACATTATGAAAAAATCTTAAATAAAAATTATTTGTTTCTTTGCATAAAATCTGAAAATAAAGTTTTCTGTAAGTTTTTATTGAAAATTTCAAAATTGTTTCTCCCTCCAGAAAAGAAGGCAAGGGGCAATATAATTTTATCATTACAAGATGTTTTCCGCTTCTTGCGCATTACTTTTTATCGATAGTATCAAGATCAATTTAAAGTTGATTTTTTTTTAGTAAGAATGTTGAGGAAAGTTATCAACTTCTCAATCCTTAGCATCTTTATAATTAAACTTCAAATTAGAAATTTATTAAAGTAAATTTTATCTAAAATTAGCTAACAAATAATTTTGTAATTTATTTAAATCCTTGAAGTTACTTTCGCGCTTTCCTGATCATTTATGCATTTTATAAAACTTAGAATTTGCATGAAATCACAATTTGCACAGAAAAATATAATAAAATTTTATTCATTAAACATACGTAGCATCTTTAAAAGTATTGTTTTTTAAGATTTAGGAATACTTTACCTATATTTCTTATTGCTCATTTATTTCATATTTTTACCATTAGATATTTTTTATATTCATTGTCAGTAATAAGAAAAAAAATTAATGAGATACGATTTAGATAACCGGTATTCATTAGGCAATTTCTCCTTATTATATGTGTATCTGCTATTTGCTCGACCATTATTACTTTAAATGTACATTATTATAAAATTACATTAGAAATTTTCGGAGCTTATTGTCAAGAGAACGGACTAAACTGATTCATTTAACATTACGAAAGTATTTACAAATAATCAAAGCATCATACGATAAAACGTTGATAATGAACAGCTAAGTGGAATCAGCTAAGTGGAATCTAGCTAGCTCAATTTGCACGATGCTCAATAAGAATTATTGAGATACAAAACCTCTGTAACTCGGAAACAAGATCAAATAGGACAAATATTTATGCAAATTTTTTTTTATATTTCTTCTCTGCGATTATGCCCGTGTTATAAAATATCTTATAATATAACAATATCAAAGATTTTTCTAAATAAAAATCCCAGGTTACCAGTACGCCATTCTAATTTTTCGAAATGCAATTGATAAAGCCTAATTTGAAATGGATACAATTATTTCTCTCATCTTGATTTTTTTTTACTGACGAAGTTACATTTGGATTGGATTACAAGTGCAATTACATAAGTGATGGCCGGAGCGCGCTTTGAACTATGAGAAGAACACTCTTGAACAGCCAGACCTCTTCATCATCCCCTTCCTCTTGTTCCTCTACCGGTTTCTTCTTTTTCTTTTATAGCGCTTTTCTAGTAAATGATATGACACACACGCCATTGTTCTACATTTTCAGACATGCGTACCTTTTTGCATAAAACTCAGTAAATAATGATCTCTATTGAGATTCAATTGAAATTTATTCGACTGATTTTTATCTTAAAATGTGATAATTCTATATAATTTGCACATCTTTGAATTGCGCTTTATTGTTAACTTTCTATTTTTAAATCAATATGCATATTAGAATAAAATTTTAATAATTTTAGCAACAAACATGCACGAGAATCTTGAAAATAATTTAAAAATGACGATAAAAACGCAAATATTTTTACGTTTAGTTATCTTCAAATTAGACTGATAGAAATAGAAGACTGAATGTGGAATATAAATATTAAAATCAATATTGAATTAATAAATTTGGTTTATGACTTTAATGACAGATCGATATTTTTTATACAAAAATTTTACATTTTCTATTACATCTCAGACAATATGTCTAGAAAACATCTTTAAGATTTTATTGTACCTACTAGTAGACAGATGTAACACACATTGAATAACAATTATTATTTTACAACATATCAATTTATATTTTATAATAATTATTGTTTCGAACAAAAATTATTTTAAATACACTAACAATAATGGAGCAGCGACAATGCAATATTCGAAAAGGTCGTAAGAAATTTTCAGACAAACCTGATATTGCGATTCTCTTCTCCTCTTTTCCTTTCCTTCCTCCCTCTTCATCTATATCTCTATTTTTATCTCTGTCTCTCTATCTACCTCTCCTTCTTGGTGGTCCACACGAGACTAGAGCCCTTTAAACTTCCAGTGGGCCGAAGATTCTACGATAAGTGGTTGGTGCTCGCGCGGTTTAAACTCTGGTAATAAGTTCGCCAATAAGTTCCACGGAAAGTTTGCGATTCCATGGCAGCGAGAATTTCGGCGAAACGGCGAGCTGGCCGCAATAAACTCTCATTACTCGTTCGGACAAAATTTGTTCAATCCAGGAGAAGAACGAAAACATTCACGATATCCACATATTCTTTATATGATTATATTTTATTTATTTGTTTATTGTTGACTTTTAGATTTGTGTGATAATATCGTTTAAGTCATTATATGCACAAAAACATTATGTTATTATGTCAAATTCCGAAAGTTGCAGTTTTATAGATACCATATCCGACGTATTTTATAGAAAAGTAAAGTTCAGATTTAAAATGTTTTTGCAACATTTATAATATGATATTTACAATTTAATCGTTTAATAGAACTTTTTAAGGAACGAATCTGAAATCAGATGTTTGATTGTCTGGATTTCTACGAAGTAGATTTTTTCCTTGTTCTCTAGAATCTCGATCGGAGCTCGCGAAATTCATGCTCCTCGCTCGTGCTTATTGTCCTGTCTCGTATATGTATATATAGGTACGTATATACATATATCGCTCGTAAAACCCGCACCAAGATCACCGAGTAAATATTTGATCGTGCTCAAGTTTGCGGAACTCCTGAACCTTCCTCTCTCTCCTTCTCTCTTCTTCTTCTCTCTCTCTTTCTCTCTCTCCCCCCCCCCCTCCTTTTCCTTTCCCTCCTTTCTCCTTCTTCTTCTCTTTCTATCCCTTTTCCCTTCGTGTTCCTTTCAAGAGAAAGAGGTCCTAAAGAGAAGTTCGGGGACTAATAAAAGTCTGAGCTTTTGCATTGTCCCTTTGCTGCACATCCCCAGTGAATAATTTTAATTCTTTTTTCTTTTCTGTCACACATGATGTGCCCTGACTGTCTTGTGCATTGCACAGTTTACAATTCATCAATTTACTACAATCTATAATAAAATATTTGGTCTGATTGGATGTAAATAAAGGCAATATTGTAAGACGCTTCTATATATAGGAGCTTTTTTATTTAGGTATAAATAATATTTAATTATATTATATATGTTATGTATAAAATAGGATAATTTTTATGTGTTTATTCAAACAAAGCATCGTTTATACAGCTTTAGTAATGTCTTTATTTAACGCCATTATGCCGGAAAACATGAAATAATTATCAAATACCGCTTGATAACGAGCATTTATAATAAGTATTACATTAGAATACTGATATATGTGTGTTTGTGTATGTGTGTTGGTATGCGTGTATATGTATTGTTTAATTATATTAATTCATTCACTAAATGAATAATCGCGCTGTATAGAATGTACTGCAAATTATTAGTAGAAATGAGGCGTGTAATTAGCGAAATAAACCAGTAAACTCTTTTGTAAAACATTTAAAGAAAAATATTCGTAATCTTGGTTTAAAAGAATAAAAATTACACGTTTTATTTCTATTTTCTTTTTACAAAAGAAAAAAAATCGTTGAACAATCTTGCAAATTATGTTATATAAAATTTGATAGATATTGAAATAGAGTAAATATAGTAATAAATAGTTACTGCGTTACGCAATAAACAGAACGATCACAAAGTCACGCGATAGATATCGATCGATTGATACCCCAATTCGCCTTAATTCTGCAATATAGCAATTTCGGATAATACCCGCAATATTATGCACGCGAGTCTCTTTCAGAGACGTTCATACTCTTCCGTGATTACACAGACTATTTCAAGACCACTGCATGTTCTTGTAACCTTTTCAAAATCATAATAATAATAAAAAAAAAGATTTTAAATTTAACCACTCATTCGATTTTTGTACTATTGTTTAGTTTGTCAATTAAAAAACAGCAGATTCTAATTTTTTACTTAACTCTATTCTCTTTTCTATATAATATTCTGTTTATCACAATAATAAGCAAGTGGTTTTCAATCGCAGGTTTCCGCGAGAACAACAGACTCTGCCAAACCATTTCTACTTCACAGACTTTGAGAGGCATACCGCTGAAATTGCCTCTTTTCATCTAGACAGGTAATATTATATTTAACTTTTTGTCATGCATAAAAATGTACATATTTTTAAAATACATATTTTTCTTGATTTTACGAAAGAATATTATTTGAAAAAAAAAAAGATTGATTCCTAGTAGAAAATGAGAATAACGTAAATTTAAAATATTTAAAGAGATCAAGAAATATATTAAAGATACCTACATATTCAAGTAAACTATAAAATTATTAAATTGAATCCCATTTAACATTCTAAAATCTTTTATAACATATATCTTATTTTTTGGCTCGCAGGCTTTTGGGGTTTCGCAGGGCGATGCCGGTGAGCGGTCGGACACTCAACGTTACAACCGAAATCTACCAGATTGCCGACGGTGAGCTGCTTAAAACATTCTTCGTGAGTCCGGCCGGCAACCTGTGCTTCCATGGCAAATGTAGTTACTATTGCGATACGGCACACGCAGTTTGCGGCAGCCCCGATACCCTCGAGGGTAGCTTCGCCGCCTTTTTGCCAGATAAGGCTTTCGCGGCTAGAAAGGCCTGGCGGCATCCCTGGCGCAGAAGTTATCACAAACGAAAGAAGGCCCAGTGGGAACATGGTAAGACACGATCTTTTTTTTTTCCTAGAAAAATGTTCTTAAAAATGTACAGAATTCTAAAAGAAAACACGAGGTTTTCTCTTCTTCTTCTATTTATTATTATCTATTTATTTAAGTTTCTTATTGTATTTTATTTTTTTATTATTATTCTTACTTTGTAATTGATATTAATTATTTACTTTATAATTAATATTATAATTTAAAAAAAATTAGGGTGAAGCGTACGTAATATATATTTATTGTTAATTTCAGCTACATAGCCAAGAAGTGGACTTGGCTATGAAGTGGTTTACAAATAGCCTTAATCATTCATCCTTCCATTCATACACTCACTATCCTAACTTACAAGTAACTATTGCACATATTGATACACATTGACCTTCTATGTTTTAATCCAACCTTCTTTTTCGTGAAGCGTACGTAATAAAAACTACAAAAGTTTTACAATTTTTTTTCTTTACATTTTTTTTCTTAATTTTTAAGCTTCTTAATATTTCTAATTAATAAAACCTTTTTTTTTTTTTTACAAACTTGCAGATTCCGATTACTGCTCTCTGGTAAGAGAAATCCCACCATATGATGAAGGTCGACGATTACTCGATCTAATGGACATGGCGGTCTTCGATTTTTTAACGGGTAATATGGATCGCCATCATTATGAGACGTTTAGAATTTTTGGAAACGATAGTTTTACGTTACATCTGGACCACGGAAGAGGCTTTGGAAAACCCTTCCATGATGAGACGTCTATTTTAGCGCCTCTTTTACAATGCTGTATCATCAGACAGACTACTTTAAGTACTCTACTCCGGTGAGTAAAACTTTTTAATAATTAATGTTTTTATAATAATATATTGTAGTATTATTAAAATAAACAATAAATTATAAATAGTAATTAATTCCACAAAATTTTGAATTCTTAAGTTATCAAATCTCTCAAATTATATAAAAATTTTGATTATACAGCTATAGCTGACATATTAATACAATAATTAGACGTGATGTAACATATAATATATATAATTATATAATAAATATAAAAGTTAAAAAATATAAATACAAAAATAATAATTATCAAAAATAATAATTATTGCAGAAAGTTGTGCACAATTATTTTTTTTATATTACATTGTGATCAGTTTTTTCAATCTTTTCAATGCTTTTTGCAAATGTGAATTACTTCATAACTTTAAGAAAAGCAGTAATTATTGAATTTATTGTTATGAAATAATGTGGTACAGCAATTGTACAATACAATTTAATCTGCGAGGTGTCAAATGTTTCATGATTTCGTCTGGACGACCAGACATCGATAACAGAAACGAACGATTTGATTATAAGCGTTTTAATCTGTATCCCAGTGTTAATCTCCCACACGACATTATTTATCGGTTTTCCATTTCCGATACTTTGCGCGTCCGCGAAATCCGGACGGCTGGACATCGGATTTATCGTGCAGCCCGTAAAAACGCGAATCCGCATCAAAGCAAGAATTCACGACCGCGTCCCAGCAATTCTGATAAAACGCAGCACCCCGGATTGCGGAATCCGCCTTATCGTAAAGTTTTTCTTCTTTTTTTCCGTTTTCGAATGGAATCGAATTTAGCGGCGCTAAACCTACTGTTAACCGTTCTGAATTGCAAATCTCACCGATCGATGGACACTATCCATCGTGCGATTCGACAATTTTCTTCGATAAATCAAAACAATCGTCCTTATTTCAATCTTTTATTATACGTGTGCCTAGTATTTCAATTCCTTTAAACACGACAGTATGACATATATATTCTTTTAACAAATTTTTTATTGTCATATTACATTAGTTTTTTATTCTCCGATCAGATATAAATCCAATAAATTATATGTTAAATCAAGTCATTTTTAAATTTAATATTTCCGCTAGAACTCTTAAATAAAATTTACGCGATATATACATATATAACATAAATATAATAAAAATTCTAGTAATAAATAGAATTTTTAGTAATAATTAATAGAAAAAAATGCTTACGAGCAGAAACAAGAATAGTTTTTTTCTTACATACAAGGTAATAGAAAAAGATTCAGTATTTACAAAACGGATAGTTATTTTTTACGAGGTTTAAATTTATGTAGGTATTCCTTATTTTTATCTATACCACAATAGATATCCAAATATATCCAAAGTTTGTTAAAATCAGGAGAACACTTGCGTGTGTTTCCCTTATGAGTATAAGATATCTAATCAATGCAAGTTAAAAAATTAATCTTATCAAAGATATAGAGAAGAGATCTTTCAGTAATTCAGCTGACCTATTTGAATTTTTATATGTGATTATACATGTGATTTTTTAAATATAAAATTATACATTCTAGTTCCATATAAAAATATTACACAGTAAAATTTTCAAAATAACGAATACTTCATGAGATATTATTTACATATATCAGAGATATTATTACGACATAAAATATTAGATATTTCATAAAATTTTCATTTTGCAGTGATATTATTGTAATATACTTATGTCTGCCCAGTTGCCTCTTTTCATAGTTTCCAATCAAAGTTTAACAAAAAGTTACATAATTACAAGAATCACATTTTATGCTTACTTAGTTTAACCCTTCGCCCGTAAACTATAATTTGACTGGCATCGTCCGTAATCTGGGTCATAAATGTCCTGTCGATATTTTGACCTAGTAAATAGTGTTCAAAAAATCTGAAAAAATTCTGTAATACTTGTATACTATCCTATTTTATAATCCCAAAGTTTATTTAGCGATTCATTATAAGATAAATTGTTTATAAATAATTCTTTATGCAAAAAATTGATAAAAATCCATTTTTATTAAAAAAATCATATCTCATTGAGTTTTAAATCAAAATAAAAAATTCCAACGAGGTTTTATAGTTAAATATGTGTACTTTCAAGAAAAAAATTCTGTATATGGGTCATTTTTAAAAAGTATAATTATTCTGAGGATTGAAAATGGCCTTTTTCGGGTTAAGGAGAAATAAGACTTTTAACGTAATTTTTACATTATTTTATTAAAAAATCATATAAAATCGTCTTTCTCGTAAATAATACCTGATATTTGTCGCTTGATCATCCATTGTACCCTGAAAGTACATGTAATTTCTTTTTACACGTGTTTTCATCCACTCAAATTTTGAGGTTATAGGTATATATAATATACACAATCATAAAAAAATATCACTTATATAAGTTAAAAATAACTGTAGTAATATGAAAATGACGTTAAATTAATTTTACTTACTTGCACGAAAGTCTGGCACTGTCCGTAAACTGGGTCAATAGTGGCACTGGACGCACTTTGACTCGCTGCTGGTCAAGCACACACTGGCGAATTCCAACGAAACTTTGGGCATGAGTTCTCCCCACTACCTACTTTTTTTACGAGGGACGGCAAGCCCCCCCCCCCTTTTCATTTCGGCGGTATTCTATCTTGAATTTCGGCTTGTGCCATTTATGACCCAGTTTACGGGCGAAGGGTTAAGCCAAAAAGATTTTTTATAAAGTGTTGAAATTGACAAGTCATTTCAAAAAATAAATACACTTTTATGCACTAATTATGTGCTCAGAGTAATTTCGATTTTTGTATCCTCTAAGGAATTTCTCTTTTAAAGCGAAGAATAATATTCTCTTACAATTCGTTTACGATTTCTAAATTAAATAACTTAATTACGTAAGGTAAGTAGATCGAAGATGCCACTTTGTTAATATTTCATTCATTATTCATATCCAATAGATGGTAATGCTTTTTAGTCGTTAAGTCGTGAGATTGTTTATACAAGGAGTGACGTATACAAGCTTTTTCAGTTTTATCGTGTTAAATCTGAAGATTTGTTCAAATCAAGTAGTGAATAGGCTTTTTTATAATATTGTACTTTTGTTTGTTAAGCTGTTTCATTTCTTTTTATTGGAAATGAATTTATTTAACATATTTTGAAACCACATGAAATGGCTGTTCTATGACCTGAATAGCCATTTCTTCTATGTATCTATAACGTCAGTATGTGAAGAATTAGAGGTGGCAATTTTTTTATTTGCGCATCTCGTACCGCGCCTGACTCGTATTTGCCGTTTATTAATTTGTTAATATAATTTGTGTTTTCTCCTGCCTTTTATATGTATGAGAGCTTGTGCGCGCGCGTATACGCACACGCATAAACATACATGCATATATATGTAATCATACATATATCTATGCATTCGTGTATGTACAAAACTTATTGTGCTTAGTTAAGTAATCTATTTTGGAATTTTAAATTTATAAATGAATGTTACCCTTTTTCTAAAAGGGTAACCCGTAGAAGATGCACTGTGAAAATTAACGTTATTGTGATATAAGAGTGTATAATTAGCACATAAATGTGTATATTCGAATTTCAGAATGGCTTGGCATTAACATTTGATAGGATATCCTTGACAATTTTTTTCAACGTATATTAAATAGATATTTTTTACTCTGTCTGATAAGTATTATCTGAAAATAAATATGCGAAACATGCTAATGGTCAGGTATAGGAAACCAACAGATACGCATACACAAATACGTATAGCGGAGCTAAAAGGAACCCACACATCGTCCATTAAGCGCATTATTACGGGATAATTGCTTCCTGCTATGCTGTTTCGTCGCATGAATCGCTGATTGCGACTCTTCTTCTGTTAGTCTATTTTCTACATTCTATATGGTAGCCCATCATCTAAGCAACCGCATAATTACAATAACAATTCAGTGAAATTGCTTGGCTATTAACTAGACAGAAATCAATTTGCTGACTGATAAAAATGATGAAGAAACAGTTTTCAAGAAATGATAATAGACCATTTCTAGGTTGCCAAATTGTTTATATAGTAATGAAAAAATTGCGATTCTCTGAAAAAAATAATACTGTCAAAAACCTTTTTGATTGATTATTTATTAAATAGAATTTACATTATTTACAACTTTATATCACTAGGGAACAAAAAAAATTTGTTTTCTATCCTGAGGATGAAAATACATAATTTTTGTAATATTTTTGTGTTGAATCCAAATATGTTTGCGAAATTTCTCTATCAGATAAAACTGCAAGCGACAAGTGAATTTTAAAAAATCGATATATTTATATTAAAATTTGATCAAGGAAAATCTGCAGTTTAGAAAGTTTTATTTAATTTTCTTCAATATATTTTGTTTATCTCTCTTAACAGTCCAGCAATAGCCAGTTTTAAAATAAAAACGTTTAATCTTTACCGTGTAGACATCATTAAATCTTAATTTAGCTTATGAAACAATTTGTGAAAAATAACGATTAAAAATATTTATTGCGACATTCTCTATATCTACTAAAAAAATTTATATATATCTATTTACATTCTATTATATTTATATACTAATCTACATTTTTTTATACATGCAATGATTTCACTGTGGGTCTAAATGCAATTCTACTTTATCCTGTACACGTACTTACCCTTGAAACAAAGCGCGCCAGAAGTTCAATGATGCTTGCGGTAAAAGATTCAACATTTTTATTTTAAAGTACGATACTTCAGTTTTAACTTGAACTCTTTTCAAAACCTCTAGCACATCGGGTTTATTTTGCTAGCTACAAATTCTCAAAAATAATAAAAAATTTATTTTTTTTTTAATCTGACGTGCTAAAATATTTTTGCTTGTAAATTCAGATTCAGCACGCAAAAAACTTCAAGAAACCTCTTCTCTTCCAGAGAGCAAAACTATCAATGTTATTAATTTTTTTTATTATAATAAATGCGGCGACAATATGAACATTACAAGAGAACTAACAATAAGAGCCTGATAGAAAAAATCTGATTTCATATTTGGATTCAGTATTAAAAAGGATTTAATACTATTAGAACTACCACTAAAGGGGACAAAATAATCCGTTTGGCATTTTTTAATAATTTATTACTCATTTTTTAACCATCTTAATTTCTAAAATTTTCCTTTTGTTTTCGCCAGCTGTTCGCCAGTGTATTAGGTAGCAGTAGTAGAAATAGTTTATATCAATAAAAATGAATCGTTCATAAATTTTCAAATTACTAATAGTGATGATTGTGAAAAAATTGTGTTTTTCAATAATAATTGAACATACCTCAAGAAAACAATATCGAGTTCGAAGGTTTTCGGGATTGATAATAGTCTCGAGGCGCTTTTCAGAGCGACGTGGGTTTTTAGATCAACAACCGGGCGGTCGGAAGCTTTCAGAACGGTAATGGAAGCCTCCACGGGTCGGTGGAACTGCCAATGAATAAAGTATCGGCTTGAGCAGACACTCGACTTGGGCTCTATTTATACGGGGTGACACACACATACACACACGCGCACGCACGCATATCCACACTTACGTCCATACCTACATTCCTACACACAGACACATACATATTGCACATCGCACACACAAAACGCACACATTCCGACGCATCACGTGGATAAAAGTGGACTCTCGCAGAGTACTTTGCTTTGCCACACAAGCTGGACTACTCTCTCCAGGGAATCTTCGGAGAACTTTCTTTCAGGATTAAGGAGGAAGGATGAGCCTTGAGACTGAACAGCCTTTTCATCCTGCCGAGACTTGGTTGTTTACTTGGTTACTCTTATTGTCACCATGCACTATTACGCAATATAAAAATTAGGCTCATATATGGAAGCAAAAATAATTGACGAAGATATCCAAGATATCTTACTTCCGTATATTAATTTTTAACAACACAATTAGGAGTATATATCGTTAGTAAATATGTCAAGAAACTAATTTTTGAGTTACAAGATTATTGAATAATAAAGTTTATTTCGCAAACTTTATAATGCTAAATAAATTGTTAGAAATTTTAGAAATGCTTATGAGGAAAAAGTCACAAATATCTTCTTCTGATTTTGATGAATTTTGGATATGTGTAATGTAGATCAAAATAAGAGACACGTATCTTGTTATAAGTGTTCTTATGCATATATTAAGTGAGTGAAACATCTTTTAAGAAAATTGACTTTTATATTTCTAAGCGTGTTTCATCGAAACGATAAACAATATGCCAAAATGTTTTAAATACAATTTTTTTATATACATGTGCAATTCAACTCGCACTATACTCGAAACGGATGGCATTTCTGTTCGTGATTGTACTATATATTATTCTATATAATTTGATATAATTACTAATAGAAATCTTTTCTTTTATTTTAAAAGCTTATTATTTAAGTAATAAATTTAAAAAATGTTCCTTTTCTTGAAACACTGCTCACTTCTGATTGCAGCTTCCATAATGGGTCCAAGCGGCTCAGCACTGCCATGCGGCAGAGTATGGCAAGGGATCCTGTGGCTCCCGTTTTATGGGAACCACATTTAGACGCCCTAGATCGACGGATAGGTATTGTTCTGCAGGCCATCCGCGACTGCATTGCTCGCGAAAACTCTTCGCAACAGGTCGTCCACAGCGATAAAATTGATTCAAAGTTATAGCCTTTAATCGCGGTCTAGAATAAATAATCGCGATGTAAAAAAAATGTAAAAAGAGATCTCCTCCTTTTCCCCCCCTTCTTTTACTCCCTTTTTCTTTCTGTCTTTTCTCTCAAATACCTTAATATTAAAACTTTAAATCTGTAAATTAAAATGCTGATTCACAGTTCCGAGAAAATATTAGAAGATCTTTTCTTTTTTTCTGTTACTATAGTATCTTCATAATAATTTTTCTTTGGAAATGTATATAAAGCAAATTAAACACTTCATTTATAACTAAATCGATTAAATTAAATTAGTTGACTTATTAATTATACAAATGGAGTGGCGTCAAATAAGAAGATCATATATTCAAGATCATTTTTATATCTTCTTTTATTTGATTAAGTTGTTGAAAATTGTATTATTGAAAATCGTAATTTTTAATTTAATCGATTATTAAACAAATATTTTAAAAATTAAAACTAATATCTATTTGGTTTTAATTTAATTCGGAGGGAGGTTGTTATATCTGTTACTACATTTATATTTTTTAATGTTTATTAAAGAAACTTTATTGGTACGTTTTAATGAATACATTTAAATAATACATTTTAATGTAAAAAAATTAACTATTACAAAATTATAATTATATTAAATTAATGTTATAGTTGTATGCAATTTATTGTTAAGATTAAGTTATCGTTAAATGGTTAATAAATTAACTTTTAGAATAAGTTTTGCCAAATAGCGTTACTTTACAAATTCATAGTTAATTTTCAATAAAATGTGTAATTACTCATATACAAAAAACATGAGAAATTAAACATAAAATTATAATTTTTTACACTTTTAGAAAATTATACTCGTTATTTCATTACAGTTTAACTGATATTGTATCACGATCTGATTTTTAACGTAATAATATATATAATTGAAAAAAATGTTATTTTATATAATAAACAAAAAGTTTATTGTGTATATATAGGGAAGAGATTTGAAAAGAAAATTCTATGAAAAATAAAAAGAATTAAAATTGACGGGAGAAATTTAAAAAATTAAAATTATCTTCTTAAATTCATTTTGATTTATTTTATTATTATATATATATTGTAAAAAATTTAGAAATAAAAAATAATAATTTAAAATAATTCTAAATGGTAATGTTATTATTTTTCGAGGAAAGTATATCTTTAAACATATCATAGAAAATCTTGTTGATTAGCTTTTACTTTTTAATAAAAAAAATTATTAATTTACAAGGAGGCTGTTGTACCTATTGTATGCATAAATACTTATAAATACACAATTTAATTATATGTATGTATATTCATTGCGACTTGGCGATAATCAAAAAACACAAGTTGTCATCGCGTATAATAAATATTATTGATGTAAAAATAACATGATAAATAACAATGTTAAAAATTTAACCCATTATTGGCCAAAATTTCACTTTTCTTGCTCTTATAGTTTATTGTTGTTTATTATATTCACAAAAAGAAATATAAAATTATAAATAAATAATTAGTAATTATATATTAATTTTTAGTTATGATATAATAATGACTTAATAATTTAATTATTTTAGCATTAATTAGATAATTAATTTAAAAAAATGTACATATATTAATTGTATTATATAACAATTTATAACTATAAAACTTTTAATAATTATTTATAAAATTAGGGTGACATTTAAAATTAGGATGACTCATTATGAAAGCGACCGACTGATAATCGGCGGGTCTCAAGTTTGATTCTCTGATTCTCACCCCACATATGTGAGGGCTTAATTTTATCGAAGGCTTACCAGAAATTAAAGGGAAACCACTCTGGTTATTACTGTCCAAGATGTCGCTATACAGAGAGAAATTTATAAAATAAAAAGGCCCTCAGTCCTAAGACAACTCCTTGATGGGTCCAAGTCACATAGCCATAAAAACAGTGCAACTCTCTTCAAAGTGATCGTCAACGTCAGGGTGACCTGATATGACACACTGAAGAAGAAAATTGATTATTAATATAGAATTAAGAATTGATCAAAAATTAGAAAATTATTATTGATTATACAATTCTTCATATTATTGTTATGGCCTATCATGGGTTAAAAATTGCTATAATAATATTGTAAATAAAATCGAGAATGTTTGCAAGTGTATAAGAGAAAGATTTAAATTACATTATGTGTGTGTGAATCTTGCATGTAAATGCGTGAGAGAGCTTTTGTAAAGTGTGCTTTTCATACACATGTTTTATGTTCCTTACGCACCTGTATACAAAAAATAAATTTGAATGGAAAATAAAACGGAATGCAGTTTAATTAATACTCTTTTCCCTCTTCATCTAAATGTTTGTCAAATAAAAATAAAGTAAAATGCAATCTAACTCCAGATAATAAATTAATTATTTAATCAGAATCTCTTAAAAATTAATTAATTATATTTTAAAATTTATAGAGATGGATGGACATAGTAAAGCCATATATGCATATATATACATCAAACGGAACATCACTTTTATGTAATCGACTGATTTGTACAAAAAATATGCCGAAATGCATCATTTTTGTTTTTAAGGGAAATATAACAGCCATTTATGTAATAAAATTTTATTACGTTTTTATTATTAATTATTATAGTAAAAATGTCAATTAAATAATTTAATACTTATGGAAAAGTTCATAATTTTCTTCTTAATTCTCGCGCAGAATACTACAGAAAATTGAATAAAACAAACAAAACTTTCCAATTGTTCTTCACAGATAGATACTGTTATAAGAGATCAATCATAACGGAAAAATCCACCAACTTTTTCTAGAATGACACAGAACGGGATTCTTACCTTTGGAGTTTTCCACAACGAATCGATTTTCCCAGTAATGAACTCAAAAATAACGCGACAAATGTGAATTTTCTGAAATTTGTTTTAATTAAACAGAGAGAGAACCAATCATCTTATTTCATCATTATTTCTACGAATTATTTTTACAAATATGTGTTTCGTAGATTTTTAATTTATTGCTAATTCTTTCGTGTATACGCAGGTACCCACACGCACACATAAGTATATTTTTATACATACCTATATCTATATATAATCAGAACATATTGATTAGTTGCTTATTAAGGTCTAAAGAAGGCTTATTGATCTTGTCAGGAAATCCATCGTTAACGTTTCCTCGAGAGAAAGTTTTCCTGCGAAGAGAAGAGAAGCAAAGTTTAAGCCCTCGCTAAAGGCGAATAAAGTTACGCGGAACCGCAAATTCCCAAGTACAACAAACGCGAAGATCCGACGGATACATCAAGGCGCGAAAAGTCGCGCAAATATTTGATGAGCTTTGAGGCGAGAGGAAACGCGTGAGAATCGCAAAATTAATTCGTCGATCTCTTTACTTACTCATATCTGCCGAAAATAGACTAGTTTTTAGCCGTCAAACGGAAATAGTCATAGATTTCTCAGGAAAATAAGCTTTTTCTCTCGTACTTTTTCTAAGGGCAATTTACAAATTTAATTTACAAATTAAATGTGACTCCGTCACATTTAAAGATTTAAATAAATCATTCAGATATTTCTTATCTCAAAAAAGAATTATAGAAGTATTGTAGACGAATTGCTTAGTTTGTTACATATTTTTTTCAGAGTGTGAATTATTTAAAAATTGGCTCTTTTGACTGAAAAAATTGTTAATAATTTTTTATCGATATTTATTGATGTTTTACTGTCAGTTATTGCTATCAATTATTCATATTAATTTTAACTATAATTATGTTGACGAAAAATTGAGGCAATAATTATTATATAATTAAAATACTAATTAAATTATATATTTGCAAATTAAATTTTAGAAACAAATATATGGTGCCGGTATATTTCTTATTAAATTTCAAGTGAATTGCTTGACTCTATCGTCAATTAATGTCGCATTAACGTCAAGATAATCAGAATAATATGCTCGTCATTCAATTCGCTTTTGATGCCCCTTCAACATCGCGAATCTCATGAATTCGTGTTGTACTTGTTTTCCACGTTTATGGGTTTTTCCGATTTTCGTAGTTGCGGGTGACAGACGTGATGGAAGTTTCCAGATCACGAATTCGTAGGCTCTTTAAGATACCGTATTGGGATAGTATCCCAAATCTTTTAACAATTTTACAATAAAATAAAAGTAGATAATATATTACTTTTTACACTTTTAGCTTTCTTATTTTCAAAAATTTAACGTGATGTGCAAACTTGGACGTGAGATTCGAATTTAGCGGACAAAGGTCTACGTGAAATGATAATTGTAGATAAAATTATTGTCCTATAGTGTAATAAGGTAAAATTATATAATATATAGATGTGTGTGTATAATAATATAATTATAGTATAAGTATTAGAGTCGACTTTTGCGTTATATGAATTACAAGATATTAATATTTATACGATTTATATTTCCTCTTCAGAAAAAAAACAACATAAAAAAATAAGAAAAGAATCGCGTTTATATCCGACAAAGCTGAATTCACAATTATTTAGCGTATAATAAAGAGGTCCGTCATTTTACATTCAGTCCCCCGACGTTTGCAAAATCATTATTCACAGAATCATCGAAATCGTCAATTAGTAATCGGTAGCCAAAATTGCCAATTAGAACATACATTCGACTATTAACGAACATTAACTCATTAAAAAAGCAATAATTATAATATAAACATTAATATTGTTTTTATTATTATTTTACAATATCTTAATATACTTCAAAATTAACATTCTATTTCAAAATTTACAGAAGGATTATTTAATATTTTTATTTTATTTTAATTATTTTATTTATAATATTCGGTAATAAATTAAATTTGTAATATCTCCAACGTTCTTATTTATATAGAATTCAAAACTAGTAGTTTAATTTAAAAAAGGATAGATATGCGTTATTAAGTATTGACTTTTCGGCATTTCTAAAAAAAATCGCGTAATCTTTAAAAATGTTTAGTTATAAAACAATAAATAATGAGTTCGTTTTTACTTAGAGACTTTCATAAAGATTCAAAGTTTAAAAATTAAAATTAAGAAATAGTACAATAAATAATTTGGTATTTTGAAAATATTATAAACATTTTCTGTATATTATTTTATCTATACGTAAATGTCAACGTAAACATTTCTACTTGTTACATATTGAAGAAAAACTTCCGTTTTTCTAAAACAAAGGCTAGAAATGTATTTCTACGGCTTCTCTTCTAAATCAAAAATAGAATGGAAGTGCGATCGAAGTGCTTATAAAAAATATTTTGGGAGCACGCGCAGACCTCTCGTAACCATTGAGCACGTATATAAAAGCTGTACACCCGTGACGTTGTATTAAAGTTATTTTATCACAATATGTTGCAAGGATCGTTATAAAACGCAATTATTTAACAGCGCGTACCATTATTTTAACATATTCTCGCTTTATCAATATCTAATACTGCCGAATATTGCTTATGAATCGTAATTAAACATTTATTGCAAAAGCTACTAATAGTTACGCGTTAATTTTATCGTAGTAGATATTTTACAATTAATTGCAACACATGAGTGTAGAAAAAGTTATAGCAGATCGTATATATTACATTTATGATATTACAAAAATGCTTCAATTATAATAAATTACTGACAGATTGTATTTTGATGAAGACAATCGGATTGAAACTAAAGATATAAAAATAGTTTATAAATAATTTGCGAAAGACGTATGCTTGTTTTAAAGAGGAACGCCTATTTAAAAATTTCGGTAAGTCTGCGTGATTACACAATTAATGTTTTCCTAGCGGTATTCTATATGCATCCGTATCTTAAAATATTAAATTGATTGAAAGAGGATTATCGAAACTTACATTTCTACCACTTATTATTTTATAGCAACGAATTTTTACGAATTACACGATTTTATGAGAAAAGTCGAAAAGATAACATTTAACAGCGCACATCTTCAAAAATATAGCAAATTTTTTCGAATGTTAAGTTTTTGAATTTCTTGAATTACAGCGTATTTTAAGTTAAAAAAAATTTTGGGAAATTATCTTTATTGTACTGAAGAGTGATTGTTTTCACATAGACTAGAATGGTTCACATGCGATTTGACTTATTTTCTTTCGAGAGAGATGCAACATTATAATATATAAAATACTTAATAAGGGATCAAGGAACAATTCTGTTGTTGTTTCGAATTGAGACTGCACGATGAGATCTTACGGATCGAGAGACAGGAAGGATGATTACTATTAATCGCGTCCATAATACGGAAGGCAACTCAATCTGTCTGTCAGGGAACAGACATCCTGCTCGAGACGTCTAACGTCACAGGCAAATCCGAGATCGTGTAATTAACAGGATATATACCCTCTCTCACTCCCACCGTTCTCCCGTATGCCAATCCGCTCCTTCAAAGGGAGGCTGGTTTGATCCTGTTGCTGTCGTAGACAGGGGCAGATCCCAGGTTGCTAATCCCATCCAAGACGTTCGTCAAACACAAGTTGTCCGTTGTATATTCGTAAATCTCGCTTATTAATTCTGAGAGTCTTAAGCTGAAACGCCAAAGAGTTACATAATTTGCCAAAAAATATTACGTTTAAAATGTAAAAGATGTTGCAAAAATATTTTCTTTTTTTCACCAAAAATAATATTTGAAATGGGGTAATTGTTAAACAATGTTTATATACTGTAATATTAATAATTAAATAATTACGTAATTGCGCAGGTGACAATAAGGAAAGATACATTACAAAGAATTATTTAAAGACGAGAGTTTTTCTCTTAAATGTTATATGAAAATTTAACACGCGAGAAATTGAATGACGTTTACAAAAGTCCATTTTTAGCTTTATCAGCAAAAAAAAACTGTGGAGAAAGATTTGTTCCACGAGTGGTCTATATGCGTTTAAAATACGGATAAAAAGTCAGTCGCGGAGGTCGGAGGGCGGATATATATTTATTCGAACGGCATTGACTTCTTATTGTACTTCACTTCAGCAGCCATCATTCTTTGTGATCTAATAATGTTCTCGTGGTTTTCTCCGTCCGCAGTTCTGCGGACGACGAACTCAAATGGACATTCATAAAGTTCTTCCGTACTATCGATTCTCATCTGTACGTGTTCTTCTATGAAAAACCACAAAATCGATGGTGACAATTTGACTCGACGAAAAAAGGATTATGAATATGTGAGAGATTAAAATCAAAGAAAAAAAACATTTTTCTTTTTAGATAAATTTAGATATATTTTCATATCTTAAAAAAATATCCTACGTTGTACATGCACCGTACATATTTCTCAATTATTTATTTGAGAAAAATGTATATTTTCTTGAATTTTTCTCAAATCTTACTTTTTTGTAATTGTTATCTAGAATGCAATAATTGTTATACGCATTCCGAAAATTTGCATTGCAATAATTGCTATACGCATTCCGTATTTGCATTGCAAATACGCATTGCTTTGTTAAACTTCTTGCATAAATATATATTGAATTGTGATTAATAGTACATTTGTAATAGCACAATAATAGCATATTTATTATTAGTAATTACATCACGTTAATAGTTACTGTTCAAAAAAATAAAAACTTGTAATTCTATTACGGTGTTAAGCAAGAAACTTTGCACTTCCAATGTCTCTTCTGAGACAGACAGTCACGGTATTTCGTCGTAAACAAATTCCTCGGTGAGGAAAAGTCAGTCGCAAGAAATCAGCCGGCATTTCATCGACAATCTTTTGTACAGCTCAGTAAAGTTTTGAACGAGAACTTTCTTCGGAGCGGGACGCTAATCGAAGCTCCGGCATAAACAAACGTTAAAGCACAACAGCTGACATACTGGAAGACGTGTCGAGACAAAGTCTTTCTCACCCCTGTCATCAGCAACGCTTCGAAAGGTGAGTTTATTTTCTTGCGAAAAGAATAATGCACACACAATTTACATAAATTTATAAGACAAACGATTAATATAGAAAATAATAAATCTAATGCTTATAAACTAATAATGTAGAAAAAATTAATTAAAAGTATGCAATTAATGTTTATATAATGACATCACTAGATATTAATTCTTTAATATTTGGTATCTATAGATTATGTAATAAAAAAACGTAATGAATATTTTTTAATAGTGATGCGATTGATTTACAATAAAAAAATACCAAAAATTGCAAAGAAGAAAATACTCAATAAAAAGGGATGCTCCGATATGATGATAATTACAAATAACAAATTAGGAGATGGAAGAGCAAACCACAAGCGCAAATACATAAAGCGTCGCGACGCCTTTCGTGTTCGCCTTTCGCCGAATAGTCGGAGATTTCGATAAAATGCATTTTAATGCGAAATTTGCATAATCGCTTGAATTTGCGCGCGCATCGCACGTGATGCAGCTGTGCAAAGAAGCCGAAGCACTGAAGCTTTCTTCCACCCCTTTCCATCCTCCTAAGATCCTCTTTCAACCTTCTTTCCAAGTTATTCTTTCATTCGTTAGAAAAATAAAGGGTCTATCGATTTATCGACGCAAAATTGTTCGAATTCGTAACAGCAAATGAAACAAACTTTTCAGCCTTTAAAATAGCCTTTTATTAACAAAAATGTGAAAAGCCTTATTTTGGTCAATGAAAAATATTATATACTGTCAATTTAAGTAATATATAAATAAAGACACTCAATATATATCAATTGCAAGCATATTACCGTATAAATTAAACTTTCGTAGTAATTTTTTTGCACATTGATCCTCATTTTTTTTCATTTTTCTATGTATAGAAATTGTATTTTTATTTCCCATCTAGCACATTAATTAATTGCAACACGTTTGACTGTTTGTTACCACGGAGATTCTAAAAGTCACAACGAAATCTCGATTTAGCGACCACTGGTGCGATTCGAAAATAGCAATAACAATAAGCTTCGTGAAACGCTTTTGGAACTTTTATGAATAATGCGACATCGCTCTTTGTTTGATCCATTCGATAAATTTTACAATTGGAAAATTATGAGTCTCCCCGTTTACTACAATTATCTATAAAAAACATAATTTTTATTACTGTGATTTAATTCAATAATTTTCTTATCGCAAATATGTTGTTTTTCGAAATATTATAGTAAAATAAAATTTGAAATTTAATATAAGGAGATTTGATGAGATCATTCTATCTAATTAGCAGTAATTACATTTAATTTGTAAAAGGTTATAATATAAAATTTAAAACATATTTATAAATATAAATATCAATAAATATTTTTATATATAAAATAAATATATAAATAGATTGTTTATGTATTATTATGCAATTATTAAATTTTATATTCATATATAAATTTAATAATTATGTATTTAAAATATATATCTATTAATATATAAAATATATACATATATTAAATCTTGTGGTTAATTATAAGTTATAAGATTCTTTAATTAGTTTAAAATAAACGAATTGTATTTTTTATAATTGAATTTTAACTGAATATGCTATACTTTGGAAACAACTCTTAAAATTAATAATTTAGAATTAACTTTCTAATTACTAAGAAATGTTTATTATTGTACAATCCAACGACATCGTACAGACTTAAAAATTCTGCCGGCAGTTGTTTGAGGAACTCGTAATTGAAATTCAATCTGTCGCAAGTTGATATGTGGATTAAGGTGAACCGTAGACAATACAACTAAAGCGCGAGCATCAACTTGATCGACATCATTGCGATTTAATCAAACGCTTTGGTTAATCGTTAAGATCGAAGTCGTTGTAATTGCTGTATACGATTCGCTGAATAGTTCTGCGATCAAAATACCGCCAAAACATTGTAGAGAGTGATTTCGATCAGTACAGCATGTTATATAAATTACTTTGCAAGAATTAAAAAAAAACATCAATGATTATGTTCATAAAAAAATCCGGCATATATAGGTAAAAGTCGCAGATTTTGTTTTTTAAAAGAATTATAAAACTCTCGATGTAAATTGTTTTTAGTAAACTCAATTCAAAAATAAGATAATAGTGAATTTTTATCTTACAGATTCTACCACTAAAAAAATAAAAATGGTTGATTAATAGAATAGATATAACTGGTTTAATTATCCTATGTATTTAGATAAGACAATATGCTAACTGAGCCGATTTAGCCGAAGTAACAAACTTTATAACTTAACTATAAAATAAATTAAATTAAAATAAAAAAACAATTTTAAATTTTCTATTAATATTTATATTATTTTTCAATATTTTAAAACACATTTATACAAACAGAAAGCTTATTGAAAATCTATATCTTAAAAAATGATAATTCTTCTTATTTTAGTATACTCTAAATATGATGCAGTCCTTTTTGGGAAAATTGTATAGGTGCAAAATTACAAAACGAAATCGTTCCTTCTTAATATCCTCTCTGGTTTCATAACGAACATCTAAATTATTAATAAAAAAATTTGTTACATATTACAAAATCACATAATAAAATATTGCAACTCTTTTACACACACATACATACACGTAATATACACGCAAACTACACTTGCTCTCTTATAATTTATATATTAATATATACAGAATATCTCATATCTCAAATTTGTGAATAAAAATATTATAGCCAGAAAGTTTACCAAAAACAATATCATAAGTCTTTGCAATTGTTTATTCTGGGCAGTAATTCTTTTAAATATAAAAACTTAAAATTGATTAGAGTCAAGTGGCCACCTGATCGCAAATTGCATTTTATACATTCACAGACTCTACACAAAAATTGTATTGCCACATTTATGTACGTTATATGATTAGCAGTAAGCTACTAATCAAATAAATTTATTAAAATCAAATAAATTTTTTTTTTTAAAGATGTAGGATTAAATCATACATTTTATACAAACCTTTATAAATTTCTTGCCACAAGGTACATCTTTCCGTAATATCTTATCCGTAAATCCTTGATTTTGATATGTTTTGTTACCGCCCTATTATAATTATATACATTTTATAAATTTTTCAATATATTAAAATTATTATAATTAAATTATAATTAATAATTATTAACTCACTGTTTTTCGAAGTTCTTCTTTCTTATTATCTTTTGTATATATCTTATCCTCTTTCACTCTTTTATCTTCTTGATTTTTTTCAGAATTGCAGCCTGGACTCAATTTTTGCTTTTTCAATGAATCTTGCAACTCAACTCTAGAGCAACCTTTTTCAAATAGACTGTTTTCTTTTCCTTGTTTTATATTTATATCAGTTGCTGCGCTGTCATTAATCTCGTTTATGGATACAGTGTGCGGAGTTTTGGCATTTTTAGAGCTTTTCCATCTCGCAAATTTATCATTATTTTTATTTAAATTGTCTTTTTCAACAATCGAATTTTCTTGCTGTTGAAATCCATACTCATTTTCTTGCAGCATACTTTCTTCTTGTAATTCGACAATATGATGCTCTTTTTTTGTAACAGCATTGTTTCCAACGAGTTCTTCATTAAATTCGCAAGTCTCGGAAATAATTCGAACTTCTTTATTATTGCTCTTGCCAGAAAAAATATCGCTTATATTTTTTTCTACAGAACAGCAGCTCTCGGGAATAATTCGAACTTCTTTATTATTGCTCTTGCCAGAAAAAATATCGCTTGTATTTTTTTCTACAGAACAGCAGCTCTCGGGAATAATTTTGTGTTTATTGGTGTCATTAGGTAAAATATTATTCGTGTTACTGTCGGAAATATTCTTCTGTTCGTTAGAAGAGTAATTATTTTTTATAATACTTTTGTTCTGAATTTTCGTAAGAATATTACTTCTACTGGTATCGGAAACATATCTTTGTTCACTTTCGTAAAAAACCCGACTTGAAATGTTCTCATTATTTTGAGAATCATAAGTTTTGACAGTCATTTTGCATTTCATTTCTCTGTTACTGGCATTCTGCACGTTGTTCATTGCAATATTACTCTCATTAGTGCCGGACATACATTTCCTCTCACTCTCGTCAAAAGGATAGGAACTTTTCGAACTTTTCTTGCTAGTTTGAGAATCACAAGTTTCGGGAATTATTTTGCATTTAGATTCTATATTATCAGTGTTCTGCGTCGTCGTAATATTGCCAGAAATATTCCTTTCACTCTCGTCAGAGCGAACCTTTTTCGAAACACTCTCATTGTTTGGAGAATCGCAAGTTTCAGGAATTATTTTTCTTTTAATTTGTCTTGTATCGGCATTAACAATATCCTGTGTATTCTCAATTATCGTATTAGAGAGAAAAATGTTTGGAGTCTCTGATTGTAAATATGTGGCGAAATCATATTTCGGATTGCAATACGTTTCCGTGTTGCAATGTAGAACCGCGATTGGAATTTCAGAATCAGAAATCATTCTACGTTTGACAGCTTGTAACTTGCGATCTGCAATACAGAATCATTATGTCGTATATTATTCTATTTGTTACTTTTAGTTTTAATGATAATATATAATTACTCACGAATGATTGGATAATCAGCTGGGATAGCTTGAGTAAGTTGTGTAGAATCACTGGCAGGATATAGTATGACAATGGCATTTTTTGCAGTGAGATCTCGGGGAGTCAAAGGTCTCTTCGTGGGGTACACACATGACTTGCCACCTAAAATATAATTTTGCTTTAAATACTTACAAATTAATGTAAAAATATGTTGTAATATGTTGTAAAGTACACAAATATAACAAATTAAATGATGACAAAGATTAATGTATCTTAATACAAAATAAAATTTAAATTAAACATAACAATAAGACTATATTTATGTGTTTACATATTTTATATCTTCTTTCATAATATATTTTTATATGATACTATATTATTGCAAAGTTTTATCTTCGTATATTAAGATCTGGAATTAGGATAAAAATTAGTATTAATCACCTGCTGTAGTAATCAACGGCGCATTTGCAGAATACTGTTTTGCACAAAAGTGGATAAACGAGAGACCTTTGAACAATGTTCTACGCTTTTCGTCCGGTAAAAACTTTCTTGGATCCACTTTCAACCAGTCTTCTCTCAGTTTTGGCAGAAAATCTTCGATTTTTGGTAATTCTTTAGATTCTTTGACAGCTACGTCAACTGCTTCCCAATATGCATTTGTGACTACAGGTTTGGCGGATGCCAATGCACAAGCTAACTATACAAAATATATATTGCAAATATATAAATTAATAAACTTTTTTCTTGTCACTTATACATTTTTATTGCAAAATATTTCATAATACTTTCCTTGCTTGATATAAAATGTCGTACAATATAAAATTAAAAAGAATAACCAAAAATAATTTAGTTGTTAAATGCTAAAGATGCATGCAATTTTATTAGCTGTATACTCTTATTTTTAACGTAAACAAAACTAAAATTCATCCATTTTTCATGTTTAGAAAGAGTAGAAAAAAATTATAAATATAACGTAAAATTGGAAAAAGGATGTAATGTTTAAAAAAAATTTGAAAAAAACTTAAATGATCTGATCTCAATAACTGGACAAATTTACACAAAATTATACAAAATCTTACTTTTGGGGTAAATAATGTACTTTCAGCCACCGTCAAATGTGTGCAAAAGTTCCCCCAAGTCTCAGATAATGTTGCTTTCAAATTCTGCGCAATATCTTGTAATTTCTTAATACCTTGTTCGCCCAAGCTGGATCTTGCAATTACAAATGAATGACACAACACCCTACAATAAGTTACAAAAATTAATAAGTTTGTTAAAAACAATTGAAATAATTTATTCTGAAAGTTATGATTTTAATTAGAATCAAAATTTTATAAAAAATCAATATTATATAATAAATATTTATTAAATCTTATATGTATATATAAATTCTTAAAATAAAAATTAAATAGAAAAACTAAGATTTGCGTAGCAAAATAAATCATCACAAATCAAATCTTACACAAAAGTAGACTCCTTTAGACCAAACTGTACTATATCATCAACTTTCAAAACAAACTTATCAGAAAGCAATTTTCTCTTCTTATTATCTCTTATAACAAAGGTTCCATACTTAGATACATCATTAATAACGCATCTATATTGTGTCTGAAACATATATTTTTAATGTAATGATAGAGTAACATTTCTAAAAGAGATATATATTAGAAATAATAAAAGAACTAATGTATATACCTCTGATTCTTCTGTTGGTTCTACAGAAACTACTGCATGTAATCTACTAATTGTGGGATCTCCCTCCAGCTTAATGTCACTCAATGATTTACCAAACGATTTTTTCTGATTTGGTAAGATATAAACGCACAAGTCTGAAAGAAAACCTATTGTTAATTCTTAAATACTGTTAATTCTTAATGTTTTTCTTTTTAATATGTAGAATTTACAAAAAAAATCACAAAAAGGGGAATAATTTCTTAAATTGCACATACTAAAGTTCTAAATGATTTATTATTTGAACTTTTATCAGTTATAAACTTTGATTTTAAATTATTGTTTATTATTACATCTAGTTATCATTTCTAATCTTGTCCGTTATCTATTAGGATAAATATTATAATTATATATATAAAATAAGCGTTACATCTAAAATTTCAATTTAACCTTACCTTCGCGTCCTTTAAGACACCACATGTTGAATCCAACTTATGCAAGATAGAAATTAGTAACAGTATTTCACTTTTATGGAATGTTTCGTTT